TGGATCCGGGAGGATCGATACGCTTTATAGGCGTTGTGGTTAAATACTGTTGTGTGATGGATTGGGTCAGTAGGACCGATATACCTTAGGTGCACGATGTGTAATATATTGTGTAGTGAGTTGATCGGTAGGATCGATGCACTTTGTGTGCTTGTGTATGTATGCATATTATGATGAATGGATCCGTAGGATCGCGTGCACTGTGTGTGCCGTGTGGTTATGCATAGCGTCTTGCATGGTATGTGGACGTGGTGAATCGTTGCTCGGTGGAGCGTATGCGATTCACTCACGTGCTCCAAATGGGGAGCGTGTGGACGTGTGGCCTGTGTGGCTCACGTGCTCCAAATGGGGAGCGTGTGGACGTGAGGCCTGTGTGGCTCACGTGCTCCAGTGGGGAGAGTGGACGGGAATTTGGATCGTTGCTCGGAAAGAGTGTATGCGACCACCCGTGTCCCAAGTGGGGAACGTTGATATGTGATTATGTGAGCTCATGAGGAGCGTGGTAGGGATAGATCGTTGCTCAGAGGGAGTGTATGCGATCTATCCTGAGTTGAGTCGGTACCGCATATTGTCGAGTTGAGTGCATGTGTTGTATTGTGGTTGTGTGTGTGTGATTGTTGTTGATGAGACAGTAGGTCCGGGTGTGAGATATATGAAATAATTAATTTATTGTTTCTGCCTTTTATTTCATGTACGTTTATACCGCTAATATTTGATCGTGATTCTCACCCCTTTGTTGCTGTTGTGGTCTGTGCTTCTTCGGAAGTACAAACAATCTAGGTGTTTAGCTAGCTTGGATTGTGGTGTCTCTGTAGGACTGCTCTGATACGTAACACCGGGGCGTTTTGGGAGTTTATGTGTTTATTTTGTTGATTTTGTGTGCCCCCTGGCGTATCTATTTTTGGGGAGATATGGGTTGACAGTGGATGATATTATTTATGTTTTGGGGCGGTTAGCTGGCTGATGTATATGACGATGTTGATGACATGATGTATATGTGTTATTTCGATTTGTGACCGACTATATAAATATATACATATTTTCCGCTGCTGTCGTATTGGGAAATTAAATTGGAAAAATGATTTATGAAATTTGTTGGAAATTGTGACATCCCGTTTGGGAGAGAAACTCTGATATGTACTTATTTAATTATTTAATTTTATTTTGGAAAACGGGGTGTTACATGTTACATATCTCAATGTATGAGCAAGTGTAGGTTGGATTGTAGCATCCTAATTGCATAAATGTTAATTTTTAATTTATTCTGATTTTTATTATAGTTATCGCGGGGGTAATTAGAGGGTTACATTTTAGAAGAAAAAATGCGTACTTTGCCCCGATATACCTTATGTGCCTTTGATGCTTTGTCCTTTGGTGCATCTGGCCATTGAGAGGCTTTCCAGTTTGACTGGTACCTGGCTGAAAAGAAAAGGATGAAGGACAACGTCCATGACCTGAAACTTTAGCCGTATAGGTAATAAGTATCACATATGGTATTTAACCAAATTAAATTTAGGCACTTATTGGCTCAAATTACCATTTTCTACCATTGATATCCCTAAATAATGAATATGATTAAATTTGAAACATGTTGTGATTTCTTTGCTATAGTGCAGGAATTTCAATAATTAACCAAGATTAGAACACAAAGCAAGAAAGAAAAGATCTTACATAATTGCAAAGCGAGCATCTAGCGATGTCCATGCGAAAGCTCGCCTAACAAACCAAAATCGAGGCTCAGACTTTTTCCTGTTGTCCCTAACAACTTGAAAGCTTTGTTTAGTTTTGAAATTCCTGCATTGGTTCCACTACAAACCACATGTGTGTGTCCAATGCAATTGCAAAAATTTCAGTAATAATGCAAGTTATCATAATCTAAATCCAAAAAAAATTGCAAAGCGAATTCTCTCTACCAAGACCATGTAAAAACTAGACTTTTAATTTTTATTAGAATATTTTTATTTCATGTGCGTCTATATTGCATTATAATATTTTTATTTTAATATTTTTATTTATATTGTATCATACTAATTATAATATTAAACTTAATATTTATTATAGATTAATTGTTATGTCGTGTAAATCTTTGTGCATGATTAGTTCATCCTAATCGTAATATTAAATAAAAACAGTTAAATATTAATAAAAATTAACTGATTCCATAAAATCTATTTACAATTGCTTTTTTTAGATAATTAATTGTTACTAGTTAAATTTTATTAATTATATTATATATAATTATTTTTATTGTTATGTTTATAAATATTTGTTTTTTTTCAAAAATAGAGCATTTATTTCGAAATTTCCTCACCGTGGAGTTTATCTAAATTCTACTATTGTGTTTTCTTATAATATTTGAAATGTTACATAACTATAAACTTATTCTATTTTAATTTAAGAAATTAAGAAATTATATGAAAAGATTTTAGTACTATACCAAGACTTAAAAAATAGAAAAATAATAAAAAAAGAAAAATTGTAAAGCTTCGACCTGTGCTAGTCAAGGATATATGATTTCTAATTTTCATTCAAAAGTAAGTTTTAAATTAGATTCTACGAATTCCTTATACAGATAATTACTATATTTTCTTAATATAAAAAAAAATTTGTTAACTAACCATAAAAATATCCATATGTTGCATCTGTTGATAAACTAGTCAAAATATCCAAGAAATATGATAAAAGTTGGTGTCAATAAGATGGTGTAAAACACTTTTTATCATTTGAAATAATATATGTGAATTTTAAATTTATAAGTTTCATTTAAAAGAAAATTTTAAATTATATTCTATGAATTCTTTATACGAATTATTAATTTATTTTTTAATCTAAAAACTAATATGTTTTTTATTAAATAATAATAAAAAATCTGTCTTTGTACCTAAAAAGAAAATCATAAAATTTTTGTCTTTCCACCTAAAAAGAAAATCTTAAAAAATCTGTTTATACGTTGCACCTATTGATGAATTGGAAAGCTAGTAAAATAGAAGAAGAAAAATAATAAAAAAAGAATCATAAATTTTTTAAAGATTTACAAAACCAGTCAAAAATATTAATAGTTTAATAGTTTATAAAATGTAATTGAACAATAATAATTTAACTTCCAAACTTCAATATTTTTTTCAAAATAAATACAAAATATATTTCAAATTCAATTTACAAGTTTCATTTTAAAGAAAATTTTAAATTAGATTCTACTAATTCTTATTAAAAACTGTTTCTATATAAAATGTATTTGACTAATTAACATAATAATGATTATATTTCTATAATCTTAAAAAAAGGTATAAAAAAATAGTAATTGTTGGTTTTTGGAAATAAATAAATATTTTGACTCCGAAAACCAAAATATTAGAAATAAAAAAAACGTAGTTTCCATACAAAAATATTAGTAATTGGGGGATGCATTTTAACAAAAAGTTGGTCAAGCATTGAATTTCTACAAAAATATATATTTAGACATGAATTAAAATAATATCTAACTCTAGGTAGACCTTCAAAAGAAATTTTATAAATTAAATTTTCTCTTATTTCATATTTACATAAAAGAGAGAGTGAAAAATAATTCAATTTGATATTAAGTTGGAGTTGTGATAGTTCATTCTTTTATCTACTCCTCTATTGAGGTATATAATTTTGAATTAAACTATCTATTTTATTTTGTTTGAACTTAATCAAAATCATTGAATAGGATTATAGCATTCTTAGTTTTTATGACTGTTTTTTTTTTTTTTTGATGTTGTGCATTTATTCATGTGATTTGTGTTTTTTTTGTTGTTGTTTAATTTGAACAAATTAATTGATTAGTTGTTTATAAAAATTCCGAGTTCTGTAAATGAAAAGAAATTTTTTGTATAATAATTTATTTTTGGGTAACAATTTTTAATACAACTTTTTTATTTAATTCCTTAATTTCCTTTGTGTATATGACATTTTTCATAAAATTATTTTTATAGTACTTAATATAATCTTAAGAGAATAGTGTGAAAAAAAGCTTGATGGTTTAGTGATTGTTACTTTGAGTCAAAATATTGAGGTTTTAAATTCAGATCTAGCATGTTATATCGTTGAGAAAAAAATGTGAATCGTAAAAGTCTTATAATGTTTAAAAAAATAAAGGTTGAGAATTTTATAAGTGAGGGAATTCATACATCCATTATTTTAGTGTGTGTTTAGATGAAGTAATTGAAATTTTTTAAGAAATTCAAAATTTTAATCAATTCAAATGATTCAATTGAAAATCACTCATTTAAAATGTTTGGATGGAGTATTAAAATGATTTATTGTAAAATTTATAAGGTAATTTTCATAAATTTAAAATTTTTGGACCAAATTTTAAATATAACAAATAGGGATTAATTTGCAAAATTTAAAAATTTAAAGGGACCAATTTGTTTGTAAAATGGACTTATTTGCAATTTTTTTGAAAACTTTGAGGATAAATTCAATTTTTTTATTAAATATGAAAACTTTGAGGAAAATATATTACATAAATTCTTTAATTTTAATTTGAATCAAATACTTCATAAATTTACATAATTTTAACAATTTCCTATATTTTTTTTATCCAAACAGTATAAATATGATATCTCTCACACTTATTTAGTGAGTCTTTGCTTTTTATGTGAATCTTCGATTCAATCCACGGTAATCCAACACATATATCTATTTAAAGTCAAGTTTTGTCTGAAACAATTGTAATTTGATGATTTATGTGATTTTATTTAAGATTTTTAGTTTTTAGTTTTCTTAAAATAATTTCAAAATAGAGATGAATGCTTTTAAATTACCCTAACATAATAAATTTGATTGAAGATGTATTTGGTGCCTTAGACATATATATGTTTGTGGTTGAACATTGATATAATATTCCCACAAGTAATTAATGATTATTTTTATTTTTTAAAGTTATTATTATCATCTTTGTATGATGCGTAAGATGTATAAAAATTGGTATATAGGTGTTCTTTGGCGTGCATGCAAGTAAGAGGCTAGCAAAAATGGGTTATCAATTTCGTTTAGCAAATTGGAATGAAGACGACAATCCAACTCGTGATCGTGATGCTAGAGCTCTAAGATATTTGTTGGCTTCTAATTATTATTCTTCGGTTGCTTTCAACAATCATACGAGATCAACTGGAATCAATGGTCATGTTTTTCCTGATAATGTCATGCAAAATAATTCTCTTCATTCCACATATATTCATTTTCACTCAAACACTACTACTAGTCATGCTACTAATAATAATCAGTATCCTTCTCCTATGGTACTTTCAACAATCGTAAATAGTAGTGATTATAATGACAATCAAACTTCTCATTCTTTCGACTCGTCCGAGCCAATAATTTTTGGTTCATCTCCCACTTTAGTTCCTACTACAGGAAGAAGTACTACTCAGTATATCAATACAACACGTCAGCCATCATCTATGTATCCAAGTATTACACAACTTGGAACTGCTCCATCAAATTATCGTCATGTTCAAGGTAGAGAAGGAAATCATAATAATAATGATAGTTCTATTTCATTCAGTAATGGTAGAATTAACAATGATAATGCATCTGCTATTGTTACTTCAACTGGTACTGATAATGCTTCATTTAAGAGAAGTAGATCACCAGATTTTGTGAGAGGGGAGACTTCAAATCAAGGTTCACAAGAGAGTGGAACCTTAAGAAGACGCACAAATTCTCCTCCTTCTACTACTTTTCAGCAAGAAAGTGTGAACAATAATAACATATCTTCAATTCCTTTAACTCCTTTATCAACGCCATACAACAACAACAACAATAATAATAACGTCATTTCAAGTATGTTACGACAACAAGTGAACCAATCAGGTGTAAGTGAGACACACAATTCCATTACAGGAGAGTCTCGCATAATTAACCGACGTCCTACCCATGATGGTCCAGCAGGATTTTTTGATGATACACCATCATACAATTACCCAGCTCAATCTATCATTGATGGGGATGTCATTCGATTCTTGTTTCCTTATCAACAAGAAACTCATCGAACCAACTTCACAAGGTCCCGAAGAACTGAACTAGCGTATGCTTCTACCTTTGAAGCATATTTATATCCTTCAACAATGACAGGAAGAATAACTCAAGCAGTAATGAGTACATCATCTTTTGAAAGAAATAATAATTTCTTTTCTTCTAGAGCAGGCTCATCTTCATCCTCTCAAAGTTTAGGTTGGGGGTTTAATGGTTTTAACAATAACATCAATAACAACTTGGATTTATTTGATTTTATACATCAGAGAATTGATGATACATTTGTTCGTAGCACCATAAATGTTCAACAATATGTAAGGCTTTTACCAGGAGGTCGAGTGATTAGATTTCTTGCTCCATCTATTGTTCCTATGTGGTCAAATAGTTTTGTACCACAACAACCACAACCGCCTTCTGATCCAAGTAGTTATCGCTTAAACTCTCATCCAGCTCTTTCTAGAACAACATTTAGTGTTGATGTAGAATCTAATCAGTACATACAGATGAGTACATCATTGGCTAGATCAGGGAATCATCTCGATAATAACCATATTCTCACCCCAACTTCTCCCGATCTAAGGGCACAAAGGAACATGCTTAGGAATGAGGTATTTTTACGCTACTTTCTTAATTAATTGTTTAAAATATTTTGATTAAGAATTAGTATCAATTTATTTATTGTCAATAATATACTTAATTTTCAAATTATTATACCAAGTCATTTTAAACACATACTTCACTTTATTTTCACATATCTTGCAAATTTGTGACATAGGACTTACCGATATTGGATTATTCAATTGTGTTAAATGTGCTTGATTCTCAAGAACTTATGGACATGCTATATAATATAGATGATTGGCCACGCGAGGTAAAAAATTGTTATATATTTATCAGTGTTCAATTTATTATTTATTGTTATGTATTTCTTACTCAATTTAGTATTTCGTCCTAATTTTCCAACTTTAATTTAGAATAAAATATGTAAATCCCAAATTTTAGACATACATTCAATTAAAAATAATAAATTAAACTGTTATAAAGGTAATTTTAGCCCTCGAAGAAAACGTTGAGAGGGTCGAGACAGGGCTCACTGAAGAGGAGATCCTCACAAATATTGAGACGGAAACTCATGTGTCAGATTTAAATGAAACTAGCACACACAGCAAAACTTGTACAATTTGTCAGGTGAGGTCAACTACATATTTCTTAACTTTATAAAATGAAATTTATTTTTTATTTTGTCACTAATAATTATAAATGCTTAAAAGAGTTTTTTAAAAAATATTATGTTTCGTGTTATAAATTAATTTTGTAAATATGGATTAAGTTTAATGTTAAATAAAAAAATTAAAGCACTAGGATGTTCAGTTTTCATAATATGCCTTTCTTTGTTATGCTTATTAGGAAGATTATGTGGAAGGGGAAATCATTGGAAGATTGGATTGCAGGCACATATATCACCTTGAATGCATCAAGCAATGGTTATTGCTGAAGAATGCATGTCCAATATGTAAGCAGAGAGCTCTGGAAGTTGATGAAGATGAGGATTAAAGTGATTGATAATTGATTTCATGTTGTGTTGCATCTCTGAACATTCTTTTGTTGAGTCTTTGACTGTTGTTTTTAAGTTGGTTATGCTTTTTTGTTGTTTAAATTATTGAAGGCTTTTTTACTATGTAATTTGTTTTACATGCTAAAAATTTATTCTAAACATTATTTCCTATTTCGTTTGAATTCAGTTTGAATGATTTTTGAGTTATGGAGACTCAGTTACACAACCATGTTGTTAACTATTTTCTATAATTTTTTACTTTTAATTTTTTAATTTAAAGTAACTCATTTTGTTGATATATGAAATTGTTTCATTATGAAATCAAAAATAAGAAGAAGAAGAACGACGATGATGCTGGATTTTAGATTTCGACGTGGTAAAGTGTGGGAACTTACAAGGTTAGCCTTCCAATTCTCAAGGCAATATATGAGGAGGAAGGGTGAATTAAAATTGTGTTTGAAACTTGTTACATGAATTTTGCCCCTTCTATATGTATAGTACAAAGTGAATAACTAACTCGCTATTAGTTAGGAGTGAATTCTGGAGAGCTATTGGATGTATTTGTAATTAAGATCTATAGTGATCATTTGAAAGATAATATTTTAATATTAGGAATATTCTGGAAGGAGTGGGACCTTTCTCTGGATGTTGGCAGGGATTAATGTGGTCGACTCAGAACCGTTCGGGGTTGATCTAGTCGGCCCATAACAATTTCCACCAAGTCATTTTCATCGTATAGGTAGGCGGAGGTTTGATATTACAACCCGAGTTCTGACACCCCCTAATTATTTTAAGATAGATGAATAAGAAGTGTTATAGTTCTTACAAAAGTTTACATTTAATGAACCATACTTCAGATGTATTTTCATATATATCATCATTGTGACTCTTAGGAACTAAAAATCTTGAGTGTTGCGCTTGAGCGATTAGACGTGTTTGGTGAAACCTTTTTGCATTCTAGGGTATAATATATTTTTAGAAGGGTAGATGCCCTTTTTCTTCAAAGTTTTTCTCTTCAAGTCTCTTTGTCACCCTTTTCTTTAGCGTTTCATTTTCCTAGAACTGCAAAGTTTGTACAATATGAACAAGAAATTAGAGAAAAATTTTCATAAATTTAATGAGGATAAAAGAGAAAAGTTGAAACATAAATAAAAAAAATTGTCGAAGAAGATTACCAAGGGATTCTACAAAGCAACTAGATTATTAAGAAACATGCTTACCAAAATAACGGGTGTGGTGCAAAGAATTTGAAAGAATCAGCTTCAAAGAAGGATTGGAATTTCAAAGAACAAATGTCAGAATAATGTATAGGTGGTGAGATTCATCACTTCACCACAACAACTCCGCCAACAGATCTTTGAAGCAGGTGTCGAGTTAACGTCGTTAAGCACGCGCTTGTTGGGAGGAAACCCAACTTTGTAAGTATTTAAGATTTTCTGACATAATAAGTTTAAGCAAGAGTGGTAAATGGCATAAAGGACGCCCTTGGTAAATGCTACAGAAAAAACTGCATTCTAATATGCTCGCCCAACGAGCATTTCCTTCGCCTGACAAATATGTTTTTTACCATTTCTCACTCTGGGCTCGCCAGACGAGATCTGCAGAATCAGTCAAATTTCCTTTAATTCTATTTACCACTCTGATGGTTATATATTAAGTAGTTTTGTTAGTTTGATTTCAAGAAATTCCAAATGTTTCAACTTTTGTGTTAGTGTCAAATGGTCAACAAAAGGTAATGGTGATAATGAGAACTTTGGATACATTGCACACAAGCAAGGTACATGTTTATTGCTTTCTAGAATGTTGGCATGAATTTGAACTTTGTGCTTAGTGCAAAATCATTTCATGCATCATTTTGCAAAAACATGTTTCATGCTTGAATCACTTAGGTCTAAACTAGAAATTGTGGGAAATCCGTCCATTGTTCACTTATATCCTCAGGATGACTAATAACTCATGTTTTAACTAGTTTGATTCATGTTAACTACTTGTATCTGTTTTGAAATCCATGGAAGCATAGAAAGGATAAAGGCAATATTAGTTGTTAAGAAAAACCACAGAGCCTAAAGGAGCCTCATCCTACCTGGTGAATGAGTGAGCATTTGTAAAACCCCTTTGAGCCAAAATTCATGAATGGATCAATTTAAAACTCAAACAAATCACTATGTAAACCACTTGGTGAATTTGTTGTCTTTTATCCATAAATCAAAAAGGTCATAATTGATACATTCTAGTTTTTCCTTGAAAGCAAACCCTTAAACCAATCTTAATTAATGTTCCTTGCCAAGGATGAAGAGTATCTGTTTAAAAATGAAAGTGATAATTGCTTAAGTTGGGGAGAGATTGCTTCATGGCCAAGAAAAAGAAGAAAAATGAACAAAGGAAAAAAATATGCAATGAAAAGAGAAAGAAAAAGAAAGGAAAGGAAAGAAAACAAAATGAATGATCATAATGTTGCATCAAAAGATCTTGAGGGGCCGAAAGAAAATAAGAAAATGAAAGTATGGATATGTAAAATTTTGAGATGCTCTTCATGAACTTGGGCCATTCTTGTTTTAATATCCTTAGAAATGACTTTTTATTTTGCAACCTGACCAGGTTACAACCATGGACAAGCCCTTGGTGATCTATGCTTTTAGAATTTCAAAGTGGATTGTTTAAATGAATACATGACTTGATCAATATATTAGCAAGGTTATAGGATTGAGAGTTCACTTCCTGTAAGATTGAATTTGAAGTTCTTCATCCAATTTATGAAGAAGTGTGTTACGATGATTCAAGTAGAATTATGATATTTCTTTAGAATGTATAACATGAAATTTATGTTTATAACTTACTTCATATTCATGTATTGATTCAAGAAAAGTAACAAACATAACCTTCACATGTACATTCTACACTTGAACCATACATTTTTTACAATTGTTTTGGAAATTGCTGTTAATCATGAATCTTGGTGAGAACTCATGGTTTTGAAATTTTTTTAAGACTTTGAATGAGGACAAACAAAGATTCAAGTTGGAGAGAGTTTAATAAGTGTCGAAAGATGGTATTTGACCATATTAAATCTTGACACTTATTGGCTTGAATTAACGTTTCTACCATTGATATCCCAAAATTATGAATAGGATTAAGTTTGAAACATATAAGTGTTATGCTTTATGATTTCTTTGCTATTATGCATGTATTTCCATAATTAACCAAGATTGTAACACAAAGCAAGAAAGAAAAGATTTTGCATGTTCGCCAGGCAAGCGTCTAGCGAAGCCAAGGCGAAAGCTCACCTAGCAAGCCAATAACAAGGCTCAAGCATTGAGAAACAGAAGCAAAAAATCACCCTGAAGGTGAGAAAAACACTTAGAAGGGGGGGGGGGGGGGTTGAATAAGGGTTTAGAAAAATTATGGCAATAAAAACAACACAATATTTTTATCCTGGTTCGTTGAACTCAACTAATCCAGTCCACCCTATCAAGGTGATTTGCCTTTCTCCACAAGGACTTAATCCACTATATTCAAACAGATTACAGTGTCAACCACTAAGAACAACTGTCTTTCTCTTCTCAAGAAATCCTGACTACAACTTGGTCTTCTTAAGGAACCTTTTACAAATTAATGTAAACTAACAAGTGTTTAAGTTGCTTCTAAAAAGCTATATCACTGTTGCACCCCAAAATTTGACCAACATTTATTTTCCCATCAAGTGTTTGCAGGTTGATACCTTCATCAGAAAGTTCAAGAGATCCCCAGAGAAGTGGTTTGAAACCAGGGTTGTGTGCTTCACAATTTGAAAGTTGTGGGTGACCCTCAGATGATTCTGAGACTTTGAGAATGAACTAGATGTTTTGAGAAAGCTTATGAGATGTCTTGATAGCCATCATGAAGCCCAGAGAGGTCATTATGCAAGAATTCAGAAGATTCAACCATGAATGGTAGAATTAGGGTTTTGACTGGGTCAACCCTAGATCAGCTGAAGATTTGGAGAAGGTTGAGACTCAATCCAAGGGACATGAGATCATGGAATGATGCATAGAGATGTTAAAAAGATGATTCCTAGACCAACTCATCATGATTGAGGAGTTTGAGAAGTTTTGAGTTAGGGTTTCTGAGGATTGTCAGTGAAAAAACCCTAATTTGATCCCTATTTTCCAGGCAGTTTTAGCTCTAGATGTGATTGATATCTCATCTTCCCCATAACATGAATGTTGTAGAGCTTGTTCTAAGCTTTAATTTGAGTGGTGGAAGTCCTTGATAGGAGTTACAGGGCTCAAGTTATGGTTTTGACAAATTACAGGTCAGCAGAGGTGTGTGAATCTGGGTCCTTGAAAGTCACCCAACTTGCAGACAACTTTTGCCCTAGTAGGAGGATTCCTATGGATTCTTGGTCAACATGAATGTTGAAGAGCATCCTCTTAGCTTTAATTTGAGTGGTAGAAGTCCTTGATTGGATTTGTGGAACTCAACTTATGGTTTGAACAAGACAGGGGTATTTTGGTCATTTGTCAGTTATAGGTCATTTTAGCCAATGCCTAAAACTCCTATTTCCAAGCCTCAAATGGAAAAACTCAAAACATGAAAGTTGCTCAAAATGTGATTTTAAGTCTAGAAAGAAGGTCACAAATTGTTGAAAAAGCTCATAGCACAAGATTACATGATTGGTCAAAAATGAACTAAAAAGGCTTATAACTTTGAAAAGTTGAAATTGAAAAGTGATTTGGGAGATCCACAAATCCAAAATAGGTCATCCAATATATCATTTTGATTGGAAAAACCATTTTGAGAACATTGGTTTAAGTAGAATTTTCATTTGAGGCTTAAAAAATGAGGTTCCTTTGGAAATTTGTTGCTTGCAAAAGAAGGTAACATTGAAAAACCCTACACAAGTGAAACTAAAGGCTGATTTGCATTCCTTATCACTCAATAACTCATGTAAGGACAATTTGGCATAGAATTGAAGGCTTGAAGCAAGGGATATGAGATTTTCAAAGTCTCATTTAAGGAG